CGTTGGTGTAGAGTTCTTTCAAGGTGATTGACCGCTTCTTGTGGGCAGAAAACATGAAGGGAGAAGCCTGATAACCGGCTACGGCAGCTAATAAGGCGACATCAGAAAGGTGATTTGGGATTTTGATGGCCACTTTGTTAAACCAACGAAGATAATCTTTTAGGTATTCTCCCAACTCTTGCTTGACTACTAGGAGCGAATTGTTGGTTCTTTGGAAACATCAGCTGCCGGAGAAATGGGTAATGAATATATCTTCCAGCAGATAGAAAGAGCCGACGGACCGCGGTTTCAATCCACTACACCATATTCTCGCTGCCTTCGGCAAAGTTACCGGGAAAGCCCAACACAAATCGAATCCAGTGCTGCGCTCAACATCATAGTCAACCCAAAACCATTCTACATGATCAAAAGGGTCTCATGAACGTCATACTAGTGTAAATCGGGCAATTTAAACCCTCTTGGAAGGGGAGCAACCATTGTCTCATCTGTGAACTTTCGGTCACGGTGATAGGAGTTTGCTGCCATGACTTCATATAATCAATACTTTGGATCACATCTATCAATAGCGATTCCAGATTCCTAATGGAACCTGTACCCTACCCTCGGGTACAGGTTCTTCATTTTTTGGAACCTGGAACCTACCCATCGGAACTTGGAACTTGGAACCTAGAACCTATCCTGTCACAGGTTCGATGGTTGGTTCCAAGGTCCAACGGGTTCTTTTTTTTTTTTTCATTTCATTTTTAGTTAAACAACACGAAAATGAACACAACAATGTCGAACAAGCTTATCATTCACTAAAGATAATACAAAAGACTAGGTTTCCTAACATTACGGTTCAAATAAATACAATTAAAATGAGAAGTCATTGTGTGAATCGATACGCAATAGAATTCACAAGGGATTAGCATGTTGATCAAGACAATATCCATATACAAGACCACAAATAAAATGGGAACCAGGAAAAAGGGAAGAAAGATGAGCGTTTGGTCCTCAAACATCCATGAAAATTTGTTCAAAATTCTGACCACCTAAAATCAAAAGAAACAACAATCATAGTTGATAACTTAATAATAGTTTTAACTTTAAAATTGAAGTATCGCGTATCGATTATTTGCAACTAAAACTTTTTCTTTTCTCCTTTCACCATCCATTATCACCATAATTCTAACTATGCAACCATCAAGCTTAACATGTTTCTTGAAAGAGTGAATGACAAAAACAATCAACCTCACTAAACAATAAAAACTTGGCATAGATACATGACAAACATAACAAGTTAAGCAAAGCAATGAGCATGTGAATAGTGGGTACTCTAAAACCACAATAAATAAAAGGTCTAAACAAACCTTTGGAAATGTTCTACATGACAAGTTAAGCAAAGCAATGAGCTTGCGGACAGAGATGAAAATTTGAGAGCTAATAAGTTAGAAGTGAGGAGTAGTAAGAAAATTAGAGATTTTAGATTTAGGGTTCCCGGTTCCATTCTCAATTCTCAATTCTGATTCCCGATTTCGGTTTCGGAATCGATGGTTCCTAAAATGATGGAATCGAGAACCGGAACCTCCCTCCCTCTCTAGAACCGAGAATTGAATTGGACCATCGGTCCAGTTCTCCGATTCTCGGTTCTATCTTGGACCCGTGCTCACCCCTACTACCAATTTCCATAAATCGCCGATCTACACCATTTTTATCCACTCGGTTTGTGGAGCTGAAAGCTTCTGGCTTGACTTGACGTCTCCTTTTGAATCTTGTAGGTTGTCTAAGGAGGTGAGTGGCCGACTCACCTCCTTAGACAATGCCCAACGCGACCTAACCCGGCGAAACCTGCCGGTACGCATCTAAGAGCATATCAACCTTGTTTTTCAAGATGGTAGAAAGAGAAAAAGAGTGAGTAAGGAGGACTACCGTGAGCACGGTAAGCAATATCAAGGTAAAAAATGTCCAGAGTGAGTATCTTTAGGTAGGGCATTAATCAAATTTCAATACTTCATTCGTTGACAAAATGCAGCTATCTCCTCGTCTTTGAAAGTAATCTCTTTGAGCTCCTTTTCAAAATAGGATGACACCTGATTTTTTGCCAGCAAGTTGCACGTGCATTTTTGTACAAATATAAAAGAAAACGAGAGATGTGAATAAATGGCTAAAAAAGAGCTACTCATTAAATCAATCTCCGGAAACTATCATCTCCGGTCACCAGCACGTATCATCGATCGTTTTCCATCGTTCATCAGTCGGATTCACAGAGCATATCAAGGACATGCGAATTTGCGAAAGTTCCCTTCAAGAAGCGATTTCCGTCGACTCTATTCGCGATTCATGAAGTCCTGAGTCGGTTTCGCTGGCCGTCACCACTGTTTGACGGTCATCTCCATCATCAAAAGCTATATACCCTGTTTGTGCTTTGTTCCATGGTCGAGAAATCCAGGGAGATCAAATCTCATTTAGAGTTCATCACTAATGCCCCGGATTGCGTTTGTTGACGAAATACTAAAGCTCCTACAGGTGCTTTAATCATCAATCGCAGCCTCAGTTCCACTCGCTAATCAAGTGGCGTTCAATGGAATCACCGGCGAGGAAAATGTACCCGAGCCACCGATACACGTATTGTCAATCTCCTGTGATATTCACAAGTATTCTGTGTATATTTCGCATCGGCAGAAGGCCGGCGAACGGAGATGGTTGTTCTGTGACGGCCAATGGCAGTGGTCCAGCAAAGGTTAAGGTTGGGTAACGGTAGAGTTCAAAGTCAATCCTTTGATGTGCTGAGTTAGATGAAGATTTGTTAGTAATCCTATAAGATAAGATTTGGGAACAAAGGTCTGTGAGCATAGGAACAGAATAAGAAATAATGAAAAATAAAAAGAAAGAAAAAAAGAAAAGGATATAATAATAAAAAAAACAGAAAGAAAATAAAAAGGGTTTGATGTAAGAGCCCATTTGTATCTGCAGCCCAGACCCGAGCGGATCAAGTATCCATGTGAGGACCGGGCCCAAGGGCCCAGCCCGTGTCGCCTTTATTAGAACAAATAATTAATAAATAAAACGAAAATAAAAAAAAATATATAGGAAAAACATATTAGAGTGTGCAGCTTACGTTTAAGCGTAGGGAAAATAAAAATAATAATAATAAAATAATTGAAAAATGAAAATTTGGATAATGCTTAGGAAATAGGCCTTGATTAGGTTGTTAGATTTTAATATTAATCTTTTTTTTTTTAATTTATCTTAGTTTCGTTTAGTTAGTAAACATATAGTTTAGGGATTTTAATGAATACCTTTGATTTATTTAGGTTTAGGAAGATTAATCTTTTAGAAAAAGAAATTGGATTCTATCTGAATTTAGCTCATGGGGGTTGTTGTCACGGGGTTTAATAACAAGGCCAAGTCTTATTAGATTACTTTACTACACTTTATCTTTTAATCGTACTTTTATTATTTTTTTGACTAATTGGTTGAGATTCTTTTATATCGCTTTTGCGTCGTGATTTGTGTGTTTTAATTAAATGTTAGGTTACATTTTTAGGATCATAATAATTGCAAAAACATCACATGAACACTTAGTGGATAATAACTTTAGGACTCATAATTGGATGAAAGACCGTATGTGACACTTGGTTGACAAATAATCAATTTTAGGTACCAAAAGCGCATTAGTCGGATAACTAGCGTAATCATATCCCTGACCTTATATCTCCGATTGTGTAGGAAGTGAGGTATACTGCTGTACCTCACTTAACTCCTAACTAGCCCCAACAGGTTAATGGCGACTCATCACATAAATTTCTTATAGAGTTAATCAAATTAAAAGGAATCTTTCAATGTTGCGCGAGGTAAGGGTTTGGAAGAGTTCAGTGATTGCGGATCGTTGTTCGTCAATCTGACATTACCTCTAAAACCTATCTTTTCCCGTCGGGAGAGTTGCGACAGCCCTCCGATGCTTACGTTAGCATCGAAAATGAGGGAGATTAAGAGGAAAAAAAGAGAGGATACTAGCTTAAGGAAGAAGAGAGAGATGTCTTTCTAGAGAGAGAGTTGGAAAGAGCCCATACCTATGAAGTCAAATTACTATTTATATAATTCTGTTGACCGGTGGTCAGATTGTGTTGAACAGGTGGCGATCTATAAAAATGACAAGTGGTGAAAAGTCACGACAAATGGCATTCATACCATTGTCAAGCCTAGTGCACGTCCAACTTTTTAGATATTGGTAGCACCATTGTATGCTTCAATAATTTAATATTAAAGTGGTGTTTTGTCAAGGACATCATGTTGAGTAATTAGGTTTACTCGTCGGCTCAAGTGCTCGAGACACATCTTGCCATCTTGTACATACTCATAGGCAATATCACGACACATGCCACTGGTTAATTTGTCGGTCAAATTCACCATGTCATGAGTTAATTAGTTAGTCGAAATCAACTTCATCAAATACATAACAATTACATCGTTGGATTAACTTATTCGAGATATTTTACGTTTTGGCTCGTCCCATACTAAGCTACAAGGTCTTGTCATTTGGCGTACATGTTAGAGCACTACTAGGATATACACTTAACTTTGGAGTTCCAAAGTAAAGTTTACATTTACCTTAAAAGGCTCCTTCGTGAATTAATTCTAATTTTCACACACACACACACACACACACATATATATATATCCGAGGCATGCTCTCCTCCTTTCGGTGTACGGTGTACAATTTGGTTTATCCTTCCCCATTGGTCGTCCTAAAAGCCTTCTAGGAGCTGTTTCTTGTTTAAGCTCTTTGGCCCCGGTGACTACTCTCCGCCCTTGTCGGACCGGGTCATTACATTATGAGTGAGGGTCGGCAGGTCCTCACAACGATCAAACAGGGTCAATTAAACCTCACGTGGTTCAGGCAAGTGGTGGCACCGCCCCCAACATGTGCGAGGGTGGTTGCCCTCGCCTGTGGCTGAGCAAGGATTCTCTGACCTCATCGGTAAATGAGTCCCCACCCAACCCCCGAGACGCAGAAAAACAAGATGGAAAACACATCATTTGACTATATACTCTTTATATTCGGATTCCGGAATGGCGCGGAGATGTTCGAGCATCGACTCAGGCAAAAACGAAACAAACCAGTAGCAGTAATTGCAAGTAGTGTACTTAAGACATATGATGCAGTGAAGAAAAATAACCTTTGACCTGAACCCAGGACATGCTCGAACTCATACATATGAACATGGGCCTGATACGGGGTTTTGGTCGATGCCTAGCGACGGGAGTAAAATGAGATTGCCGATGATTACTAGTACGAAGACTGAGAGATGTTCGGCCCAATCAGCGCTTCCCTAGTGGTCAGCGAATTGCCGCGAGACGGTTCCTCTTCCACGCCAATGGTTGGTAAATCTTGTTCTTGTTTTCTTCGAACCGAGTCCATGGGAGTTTGTGCTTCGCCATCTTTCGCTTCCTTGAGGCCACTCCCAAGTAATCTCCAGCATTCTGTTAGGATTAAGCAAGAGAAGTGTAAGAGTTCGATGCAGGTATAAAAAGATAGGACTAAATTCCTAGAACAGATGATTATGTACTTCAGTTGTGAAACATGATCAGTGAATTTGTAATATGAATGAGCGATGTTGATATTGACTAAAGAACCTGAAGTCTTAAGATCCAAGTTCACATACCCTGAGACAAAGTCCCTCTTCAACATCACAGATCGGATAATCACTTGGGCAGCAATCGTCGGTCCCGGTGCAGCACACCGCGTTCTCATAAGGACAGCAGCCGTAAATTAGGCAGAGATCATGGAACTCAAAGAGGCAACAGCACGTCTCGTCGCTTGGGCAATATGAGAAGTCTCCGCATTCGCTGGGGGAAGGAGACGGTGGCGGCGGCGATGGCGGGGGCGGTGGTGGGGGAGTTAATGGCGGGGGAGGTGGGGGTGGCGGAACGACTGGAGATGGATGGGGAGACGGTGCAGAAGACTCTTTGGTTGGGTAAGAAGCCATCGCGTTAATGGCACATACACCGTACGGCAGGTCGGTGTTTCTTCGTATCAGGAAGTATCCTTCCGCGCCCCAATCTGTTCCCCAGGAGTTCTTCACAATCCAATAATCTTCGCCACTTTCGGAGCCATAACCAACTATTAGGACCGCGTGGTCGATGTCATCAGGATTGTCGGAACAGCTACCATCGTAGATGCCCTGAAGTGTCGATTTGCAGCATCATCAATCAAATGGTTTGTATGCAAAATTGTTTTCGTGCAAGTGTAGAACACAAGAACATAACGAATCAAGACCTACTGAAGTGTAGAGCTGAAAATCTAATGCGGAGCCGTCCATGCCGACGCTAATCGGCTGTTGAACAACGGAGCAGAGAAGAGCACTGTCCGACGGATACACGTCCACATACCCGTCAATGCTCACCGCTTTGTCATACTCCTCCTGATTGAACAAAATCAACTCTAAATCAGATACAAGTTAATATACTAATGTTATTCATCATGTTTTCCTATGATGTCACACATAATTCCCTCAAGAAAATGCGAATCAAATTCACTCCAAAACAACTCACTCATTGCATTTGTCTTAACCTACATGGCCTGGAGACCAAATGAGACCGTATATAAATAAATTCAGGGGAAATTGGATAAAGATACTTTCTCATCAGTGAATTCAATGAAACATAAGCACATGATGTTCATAAACGAAGATTTATGAACTCTCAGACTTGCACATGCAGGATGTCAAGATAGGAAACATATGGGACCGAACCTCGGTGACGTTGCAGACACCTCCCACGCCGTTGATGCTGGTGTAGGGATAGTCTTCTTCTGAAGCGATGCCGCCGTTGTTGATGACCCATTCGAAGGCGTAGTCCATGTAGCCGCCATCGCATCCATCATTGGTGGTGTCGCAGTCCACGAGCTCTTGCTCCGAAAGGCTGATCAGGTCCCCGGTTTTGAGTGCATTGATTCCTTCCATGGCTCCGGTGGAAGAGAATGCCCAGCAACTTCCTATGATCGTGGATCGAGTGCAAAAATCAAGCGGTATTCGAGAGAAAATCACCCAAAAACACACAACAAATAAGAACCTAAGTACCTGAACTACGACTTCGATCACAATTTGCATCCATAAGATTGAGAACCCATAATTTACACCCTACTGTAACAAAATCTAGCAATTGGTTTAATAATATGCTTGGGAAAACATTTTGATCCTAAAGAATTGTTGATATTATCAGGCGACAGATAACCTAAACACAGGATCAAATTTCAAGTATCACGTTACAAATTGTTGGTTTTGAATCGGGATCTTCAAACACCGAGAATTTTTACTTCGTTCTTCCAGAAAATATGGAGCCGAAAAGCTCTCTCCCTTCTATTTCTGCTAAACTAAATCGCATATATAAGCTACAAGCTCTTTATTTTGTTTCTGCGCATATCTAACCTGCATAGTGGTACAAAACCAGGATGCGAATATTGAATAATCCATACGGCCACAGCCCGATTCCGAAGCTCAATCATTTATTTCTGGTTGATCAGCAAATTTTCTCGTCGTCAACGTCGAAGCGTATGAGAAGAAACTTTAGGGTTGTCAAGTCGAGTGAGGCTTGCCAATCCTCTTCTAATCTTACCAGATTAAATTTTACTAAGATCAGGCAATTCTTTTCTGCTCATTTCTCAGGCATATTTAACTTTCTTAAAACCACTTTCATAGATCAAAACGCTCCAAGATTTCACCATTCCATCCTACTATTTCTAGCCTTCACACAGGCAACACCATGTGACTCCCTCTTTCCTAACAACTTAAGCTTTTACATTTATCGGCAGTCCCGTGAACTTCGCGGGTTTCTCTTACAATTTGGACCTTCTACAGTGAAAATTCTTAAAGACCTCGATGTCCCTTGATTGCTACGATGGATTGCATCGCTACGAAATCAGTCCAAACCCAGCCCTCCAAGCTTACCTAATGTTCTTGCAGCGCAGTGATTGGGTTGAAACCTGGCCACGTTTATCATTAAGTTACCCGACAACACCAAGGGCCCACTAATTATTTTATATAGTCGTATTCGGAAAACACAATTCGATGTTTTTGAACCTAATGGTCTTACCTTCTTATATTTGACCAAACCAATAACATACGACAAAGGAGAATTTCTAGAGGTCAAGTCAATGGCATCTTGTTCACGTGCATGCAGACCATGTTCTCTCACTATCTCACTTGCCAACTATGCAAACAGAATTCTGACCCAAAAAAAAAAAAATTGGAAACAGAATTCGCTAAAATTTTTATCGTATGTTCAAGCATAATAAAGCTTAATATTAAGCTAACACGGCGATTAGTCCGAATCAGATTGAATACAAATCTCAAACTTTAGATACAGCTTGAAGTCCGATTAGACTTGGTGTCTATCTAACTTCGCGCATGCTCGTGTTATAGGGACGATGAGGTGAACAAAGCAAATCACGGCGTTGAAAATAACACGGTCAACCGTGGGTCATTCTGATTTTTGAACTATATATGAACCACTCGATATAAACATATAAATCTAGAAGATAGGATAAGGTATGTTCCTAATGATTTTGTGATGTCAACTTAGAGATCAGTAAAACACACCCCAAAAATTATGATGAAAGAAGCAAAACAAATCAAATTAGCACGTCAAAGACGTACCGCATTCTCCTTGGTCTTTCACACCAGTGACAATGCCATAGTTCCTCCAATCCAAAGAAGATGGTGCCTCGCAAGACTCCACTCCCTTCCTCTTGCTCCTCCTCAAGCTCTCTCTTTTGGTCCTCCACTTTTGGTTGACCGACTTCTTCACCTTGGACAAGTAAAGCTGCTTGAACTCCTCGTTGCTCAGGTCAGCAAACTTGTTCAGCCCCACGCCATGCCTCTTGTCATCGCCTGACCTCTTGCCCTCCCTATTTCTCTCCACTACGTATCTCAAGTTCCTCTTGAAGTTCTCGAGCCGCTTCTCGGCCTCCTCCGCGTGCTTGTACACCTTCTTGTGCTTCGCCTTCCATCTCTGGAAGAGCTCGACGACCCGTTCGTCCGAAATGGCGTCGTTTTGGTCCTGTCCTTGGCCGATGATCGAATACTCACTGGGGAGAGAAGTATGTGACAGAGACAGGTATGTAAGTGAAGCAAAGAAGAGGAAGGCAAGACCTAGTTGATGGTGAGTTCTTGAAGAAGAACCCATGATGTTCTCTCAACTGGGATTGAGAGAACAGTGCTTAACTTGGTGTGAGAGCTGGTCTCTCTCTCGTTGCATAGGGTTTGTTTATAAGATGGGAATTCGCAGCATTGCCTACCAGTCAGCTCAACAACTTCTTTTCTCTTTTCACTTTCCCTGTCCGTGCTTCACCATCCCACGTTTTCAATGACGGATGACAAAAGCTTTAATTCCATTAGATTAAAAATCAACATATTCCACAATGACAAGGACTTTCGAAATTTATAATAAGCAGTTCTTTTCGGAGCTGTATGATCAATCGAAATTTGACTTTTGAGTATCGTTATATATTTCTCTTTGCACTTCTATCGGATCTTTCCATGTAAAAGGTTTTGACAACGGCATGTCAAAGTCATCGAATTTATCGAAATATATACGTAGATTATAACTTTACATAAATTTAGGTACTATAAATTTTGAAACTGCAGTACTTGCTCCACCAGAGGGGAAAAAAGGATAAAATGCAACATTTGGCTAACAATAGGACCCCCATTTAAAACTGTGTATTTTCTTATTTAACTTCTTGAATCCAAAATGGAAGTGTTTCTTGTGAGCCCATGTTAGTAATGTTGGTAGCAACAATGAGGCCAAATTGAAGCAAGGAGGCACTCCAACATATATGATGAAGCTGCTTCTATCAAGGTTTATACATCACAGTCTCTGCATATCAAGCTCAAACAGTGTTTTTAGTTGGCATAGGTCCACATTTTTGAACAGTTCTAACTAGGGTTTTTTTTTTCCTTTTTCTGATGGGTCCTTGACTAGGTAGTTAAGTGGGGGAGAAATCTACCAGTCGAATCCAACTACTCTCTCTCTCTCTATCTAGATGATGTCGTATTAGATTTCGCGAAAAATATTGTATAGACTTATTTATCTAAGAATGTGGTGAATAGAACGAGCCATACATATGAAAGTTTATTTGAGGATATATTTCTCCCATGCATGTTCGTAAAAAGAATATGTGCGAAAATAAAATATGTCTAGATGGGAAATATTTAAATATCATTGACGGCTCATATTTTTTCATGGGTTATGTTAAAAAAATAATATCTGCAGGACATTTGATAAGAAATATTAGTTTTAATTTCAAATTCGTGTTTTTATCTTTAAATTGTTATCGAGTGTTGTTGGGGCACCTCTAAGTTGATCAAAACTCAACGCCAATCGTGAAATTTGAGCGCAACCATGCTCTTCTCTTTGGGTTGGTGCTAGCCCTTGAAATCTTTTCTGTCGATAACTATTCGATACTGGCGGCGCCTGAAAATCGTCGAGATCCTCTAGAATTACTTGAATGTTTTGAAAGGCTCCAATACCTAATTTTACTTTGAAAAAAACGAATCATCTATTTACTATAAGAGAAGCCCCTCTCTAGAATGGAGGCAAAACCTTAGAAAGGGTTAGCACACTAAAACATAGAATCTCAGTGACAAGTAGTCTAGTCTTTTGTTTATGGCCATGTTATGTATGAGTAACATTATTAATTGGATTTTGAGGAAAAAAAACATTATTAATTGGATTTTTTTTTTTTTTTTGGGTCTGAGGATTTATTTAATTTGAAAGTTGGATGCTCAAGATCTGCTAATTATTTTTTATTTATTCCCCATAAATTGGGAATAGCATCAACAGAATCAGAAGTTTCTTCCCTTCTCCGTTCTGAACTGAATTGAAAATCCCACTCTTCCAAAATGAAATAAACAAAAAGGTACAACCTTAACTTTGGTCCGAGCAGAATTTGGGCAGGTACAACTGCCATTCAACTTGCATGAATTACCAGTAATCGAACCAAATTTACTTGGCGAAAAAGCTTAGAATGAGGTCAGGCATGGAGGAAGATTAGATGGGAGGTGGGGCTTTGATTTTCGACGTTGAGGCTTTGTCCGTGAGCTGGTGAGGATTGTTTAGGGAAAAAGAACGTGATTTTCTAGTCAAATCAAATGGGACCATCACTTGCTGCTTTCTTTTTCCAAATAGACAATGTGATAGTAATTGCAAGATTCTAGTAGAGGACAATCCTTCAAGTCTTCACTTCACCAGAATGTCTTTATTTTGCTTAGATCCATTGAATAAGACTTGAGATGAGTCGCTTCCTATGGACATAGATGCTGGTAATGAAAACATGTCTTGAGATTTCAATTTTGCAGTGAGAATTGCGGATTTGGAGATGTTAAACTTGTCATGGACATATCTAGAGAAAAGTGTCAAAAAAGTTCTAAAGCTTTTTGCATTGATCTTAATTCAGTCCTAAACCTTTTTAGTGTCAATTCGGTCTTAAACCTTTGGTTTTGTACCAATTCAATCCTAAATCTTTTGTATTGGTGCCCGAGTTTAGTCCTTTCGGCGAATAGCTATTCACATGTCGAAGGGTGAATTGGCTACCAATGCATAAATGTTTAGAGGCGAATTAACATCGATGCAAAGGTTTAAGGCTAGATGCAAAAAAAGGTTTAAGGCTAGATTGGCATCAATACGAAAGGTTTAGGGCCGAATTGGTAAAAAAAGGTTTATGACTAAATTGGCATCAATGTAAAAGGTTTAAGACTTTTTTGATACTTTTGCTGACGTATCTGAGTCAAGCTCGAAGCTACTCACCCATAGTTCGAGCTCGAGTAGCTTTGAGCTCGACTCGATGATTACTTGAAATTGACTCACCCCATTTCAAGTCGAGCTCAAGCTCAAGGATTTTGAGTCTTTTGTTGAGTCAAGCTAAAGCTCACCACCGCGTAGCTTGGGAAGCTAGCGAGCCTAATCATGTTTTTATTATTTTGCCAAGAAATACATTACAATTACATAAAAAGACACAAAAGTCTTTAAAATTACATGTTGTACCATCACATCACATGTATAAATGCTAGAAAACTATCCGAGCTTATTAAGCTTGAGCTCGAGTACATATATAACTGTATTTAAATTGAGTCGAGCTCTGAGTATTTGGAGTTTCAAGTCAATTCGAGCTCGAGCCTAAATTTTGATACTCAATCAAGCTTGAGTCGAGTTTCCAGCACTGAGGCTCCGTTCGTTTGGCGGAAAATATTCTCCTTTTGGAAAATATTTTCCCGGAAGTCATTTTCCTGGAAAATGTTTTCCCGGAACATAATTTTCCGTTGTTCGGTGATCAATATGAAAAAGTTTTGAAAAATATTTTTCGCCGGCGGCGGCGGGCGGCGACCGGCGGGCGGCGACCGGCGGGCGGCGACCGGCGACCGGCGGCGGCGGGCGGCGACCTTAGTGAAGAAGAAGAAGAAGAAGCTCCGGAAAATGATTTCCCATTTTGAAGAAGCGGAAGTCATTTTCCATAGACTTAGGCTATTTTGTGAGGGGGCAAGGAAAATATTTTCCCACGGAAAACGTTTTCCGACCCCCGAACACCGGAAAACCCGGAAAATATTTTCCGGGAGAATATTTCCGCCAAACGAACGGAGCCTGAGTGAGCGAATCGAGTCAAGCTCAAACTTGACACTTTGTCAACTCAGACTCGATTGCACCCTTGATTATACTACTGATATAGGCTTTTCTGGCAAAGCTAAGAAGTAACAATCATCAGGACTGTGAATGTGTAAAACGTTTCGGCAACTGCACGACAGAGAAAGAAAAGTGCTCAATTCATTGCATCGACTGCTCCAACAACTAGGGCAGAGCATTCATGTTCTGTGGGGCTGAAAGATTTGAATGAGTGGTGAGGACCCCCAAAAGAAAAAAAGGGTCTAACCCTCATATTTTCGTTGTTCTCTTTTACTTCTCCATTTTCTGCAGAATGGAGTTACTGATACAGCTTTAGTCTATCACAAACAGAGACCAAAAATTGGTTCATAGTTTGAATGGTATTTCCAGCAATCGGAGGACGATGGTCAGGTCATCATATCCCGCAAGTCTTCCTGACAGAGAGATGAGCGAATTCATCTTCAGTTATTCCTGCAACCAGACGTGGTTCGCTGCTCTAGGTTCGGTATTCGAGCGATGCATCACTAGCTAGCAAAGAGAGAGAAATACAAATAGAACACTCATATTCCGAGCAATCCACATTAGCATCACATTGTACATAAATATACGGTGTATTGGGAAAAAAAGAAGAACAAATAATCATCTGCCAAAACATTGAAATGAACAATTAGATTGCATCTCAAGCACTAAGATTCTGAGTAAGAAGGTTTCAGCCTTGGAGCTAAACATAAGAATGCTTATTCGATTACCGTAAAGCAGTTTCCTGCGTATTGCCACCTTCATTGCTCGTCACAAAATGGAAAATGACGGAAAATATCAGAAATCTCAAGATATAACAATGCAATATGGTGTATGGTAATTCTTGATCAATGTTGGACATTCACATGATTCATCAAAGCACACAAGGCGCCCTAAGCAAGCATCTCAAAACGTTCCCAGACAGTATGATCAGCATAATTTCGAGATGCATTTCCGACAAAGGATTATTCACTGAATCTACTCGGACTTATCAACATAATCCTTTCAATTATTTCAGCTAACAATTCTAGGCAAAATCAATTCCTTGGTGCAAATCAACAATTTGACTTTGGTAAGTGAAAACAAGTGCAATGCGATGACAACTATTCGAAAAACCAAAAAGAACCTAATTACTTCACAAGGACAAAACTAACCAATAATTTTTCGTTCCTTTCATATGGCAGAGTATTCATCTTCTGAACCACATACTACAAGACCAGTAGATGAATGTCCTTATCCACAAAACCCAGCAACCAAATGTCATGAACAAAAGCCTGAGTTATAAATAGCTTTTACCGTGGGTTAAAGACAAATAAATCTGTTGAAATTTTTCCGTCGATGAGAATCTCCCCACGGTATTAGGTACCAAAAAGTCTCTTGTCAGCATATACTATCCACTAGTCAAAGCAAGGCCCTCTTAAGATTTGATCCTGTAGACACAAACCTTAAGCAAGAAGGCAAGGAGAGTGAGAAATTGACGAGACTCATAGCAGTTGATCTCCCCCAAGGAATTGAATTTTTTAACTCTCTCACACTTGCTAATGCCTCTGCAGTATTCCCCTTCCACCAGACCTCACACTG